AACTAAACTTTGCCACATTAATTCTACACATATGGACATGCCATATGTTCAAGGTTAAATTGTAGCATGTAATTCCTTTGTCACTTTTTATACTGTCTATCCCCATCCCACCCCCACTTGCTAGATTCTATAGTTATGTCAACACAGTAGATATGATAAAGAGATATGGAAATCATTGGGTTAACTTAGTTTACTAAATTCTTGGCCAAAAAATTCCACTTGATCAATCTAGTTGACTTAACTTCCCTAATAAACTGAACTATTTTTGTCAAATATCAATTTTGTTTCATTCTGGGGTTGAATCTGGCCACACAACAAGTAACTGAAAGTCTTCTCTATGTTTGTTTATGTCATAAGACTTATGGAATCAAGTGAGTTAGAACTTAACAAGTTTTTAAGTGTAAGCTGGCTGGTTAAATCAGTTGGTTAGAGTGTGGTAGTGATAACACCAAGGTCTGGGTTTTGATTTCTGAACGGGCCAGGAAAAAAAAAAGCAAGCTTTTAAGTGTTATCTACTGTTCATTTTTTAGTATCTTTCATCTACCAATACTCTTCTAGATCAACTCATATAGATTAGAGTATTTTAGTGATGGCAAAAATAAAATGAAGTAAAAGTAAGCTTATAAATTAAATCTTAATGCCTAGATTTCTGGTTATTGGGATGGATTAAAAAGAGTAGAGATTAAAAACTTTAACTCTGGCTTTACCAAAAACTTGTTATGATCAGAAGAAAGGCACTGTATGTGTATCAAATGAGGGGAAAAAATATCACTGTGAAACCCAGTAATTCATTAATTACTGATATTAGCAAAGAGCTAATAATACAACTTAGTAACGGTTGCATGTCTACTTCTTTCCACAATAACGTAAACATTTACAAAATGGAAAGAAAGTATCTGAAAACTAACATTGGTATATTTTTGCCTCTTTCCCCCACAGTCCCTCAGAAAACAGGAAGTCATGAATTGTCTATCCCCAATATCATCTATGTAGTGGATTGAATTATGTCTCTCCAAAACTCATTGAAGCTTGAACTGGGTCTCCCAAGTTTTATGTATTAGAAACTTAGCAGTCAGGATGGCAGAATAAACGGTCCCTAGCATCACTCTCTCCCATCAACCAACTTACAAATATTAAAAAGCAACAACAGCCAAGTTTGGGCCACTAGAGCTCAGGGGAAGAGGAGGACAGACCTACGGAGTCCATGAAGGCAGGAAAAGCCACAATGAGAGAAAACATCACTCCCACCATTTCAAGCCCAGGCCACTTCAAGGCTGGAGCTGGTGAGCACATGAAGCAAGAGGTGGCAAAAGACACAGCTGTGCCTTTTGTATGAAGTTGCCTGGAGGTGAGGTGGCAGGGGAAAAGAGGGTCTTGGTGGCCCCTAGACCAGCAAGACCATTAACAGGGTTCCCGTGGACCCACATAGGAGCGAGGAGCCACAGAGAGCAGAATAAAGGAGCCACTCAGAGGCTGGTGAGTCATTGCAAGGGACTGGTGCATGGCCTGCCCCATGGGAAGTGTTTGGAGTGCAGGAGATGGGAGAGATGGGCCCGAGGGAACACTGGGGTACAGCATAGACAGCTGATATGTCCCCCAAATGGCACAGGACCACTCAGTGGAGACTGTCAGTGGAAGTGTTTGGAGTGCAGGAGATGGGAGAGATGGGCCCGAGGGAACACTGGGGTACAGCATGGACAGCTGATATGTCCCCCAAATGGCACAGGACCACTCAGTGGAGACTGTCAGTAATATCGAACTGCAAGTGGTGCGGTTTGCTGAAAAGACTCAGGCCAGACCAGAGTTTCCCTACAACCCAAGTATACCAGACCTCATGAGACCCACAAGGTCAACAATTAAACCTTAGCTACACAAAAAGCCTTCCCTAGGGAATCAGCAGCAATGAAGCAATTTAGCTTAGCTCTACTATAGGGCTCCAGTGCTGGTCCCTACAGAAAGTTCCTCCATTTTATAAGTAAGCAAACAAATTTAGTTCCAGTGCAAAGTTTAAGTGGTAGAAACAGTGAACAATACAACAAAGAAAAAACAAAATACCCACAGATCAGAGACGATGTTTGAAATTAACTAGTGAAGGTCTAACACCACCACGGAACACCTATAAAACCTAGAAGGACCAGAAGCCCTCAGGACTTGCAAGCCAGGAAGGGAGAAGGGCTGAGGGCCTCAGCCACGCACCCCTCGCCCCACCGGCATCCGCAACCAGTCCAGGAATGACCACTGAGTCACCACAGGAAGCACCCTGGGTGGGCTAAGGGCCTCAGCCATGCTCACCCGATATCCACAACCAGCCCAGCAACAACCACAGAGCCGCTGCAGGAAGTCCCCCAGGTTCCCAAGCCAGAGTGGTGGGGGGCAAAGAGCCTTAGCCACACCCTTCCAACATCTGCAACTAACCCAGCAATGATCAAGCTGCCACCAGAAGCCCCCTGGTCACCCTGGCTGGAATGAGGGGTGCGTCACAGACCTTGGTCACACACACCCCCTTCCTCCTCCTCTCATCCTACTTCTCTCTCCCTTCCTCTCTCCCCCTCCCCCACAACTGCTCCACAACATCTTAGAATGAGGCATGGAGCCAGGGGAACACAAACACAGCCACAACTAGGCAAGCTGCCACCACTGCTGTGGGGCCCCGCTGGGGTCCTGATCCATGGAGCCAGGGGAAGCTGAACCCAGCTGTAAAAAGAGCACACCAAAAACACCATTTCCACACAGGTATCCCACCAAAGCCACCTGTATTGCCATGGCTGCCACAAAAATGGCTAGTCTCTATAGCAGCAGTCACAGCCACCATGCAGATGGCATGCCAGACTCTCAACTGCATTGACACAAGGAGAGGCACCAGTGGAGAACCTTCCCCGCCCCCCAAGAAAAAGAAGAGGTCCTCTCCTCTTTCTCCACAAAGCATATTCCAGAGTAATAGAAGAAGCATCTGATTTAAAATAATAGGAGAGGACTTGATCACACCTGTCTCAGTACTGGACAGATCATCTAGGCAACAAACCAACAGAGGAACAGTTAATTTATCAGATGGAGAAAACAAATCTATGGTTATTAAAGGAGGGAAAGTGAGGGGAGTGGGGGAGATTGGAGAAGGGGCATAAAGGATAAGTATGATTTGTAACAATGAATATGCTAATAAATAAGTAAATAAATAGAAGAGCAGGGAGTAAAAAAAAAAAAAGAAACTTAGCCCCCACCGTGACTGTTAAGAGGGTGGGAAATCCTATTACAGTAACTGAAAGGTGGAGCCCTGAAGAGGTGATTGGATGATAGGACCATGCAGTAGTGGATGGATTAAAAATGGTGGTCAGGGGCGTGGTTCCAAGGACGTTAAAAGAAGAGGAGAGTCTGTCTCTCTTGCTCTCTCTGCTCCACCATTTTCGCAATGTGATACCCAGCCATCACTGAAGTCATGAAAGAAAGCCTTCACCAGATGTGTTCCCAGGACTTTGGACTTTCTAGCCTCCAAAACTTTAAGCAATAAATTTTGTTTTTTTTTTATAAATCACCCAGTTCCATGTATTTTGTTATAAGCAACAGAATCGGACTAATACAAAAACTTTACCCAGTCATTCTAGAAGTGAAAGATGAATGATATTAAACTTAACTAACTGAACTTTTATCAAACTAAGTGGCAGTCCAGAGTTGAATTAAATAAATGTTTTGTATGCCTACAGCATGCTGGACAACAGAATTAAGTAAGACTCATGACTCATTCCCTGTCTTTAGTGAATTTTGTCTAATAGAACAGAATTAAAAACATTAAAAAGAAAAACAAGAGAAACATCTCCTATACTAACACTACCAAGAGATTAGAACTCTGTGGGAATAGCTCTGCAAATTTTTTCATGTATACATGTGTGCATATATCCAGACATTTTTTAAAATAGAAAAATTCAATATAGTGCTTTGTAATCCTTTTGATTATCTCTATCATTCCATGTGAATTAGTAACCTTTACAAAAAATCACCATTTTTAATGAGCTACATAGTATTTATTGGAGGGATGTATCAAAATTTACCTAACCAATACCCTGTTGGTAAATGATCATGCTTAATTTTTTTAATCAGGAAAAAATGACAGCTAAAATTAACAGCTGTAAACTTGGCCAAGACACTCTAATAAAGCCAACTAATGAGTTCATCTCCAAACATACACACACACAAAATACCACAGAACAAGATTTTATGTCTTGATATTTTTATCATCTCTCCTCTCTCCCTCTGCTTGCTATTGTCCAGGCCTTATTACTTTTAATAATCCAACACAATATTTCTACATAAAACCTCCTGAAGCAAAACATAACCTCTCTACTTGAAAAACACCTAATCCTAATTATTACAGAATAAATATTGCCAATTTATTATTTAATATTTTTGGCATCCAGTTTGGATGATATGGCCACTAATTCACCTCCCAATTTTACCCCCTACTTTCTTGCAAACACCCCCCAGTGAAATCCTAACACAGTACTCAGTTCTCTGAACAGTCTCCAACTTTCTATTACATATACTGTTCGCTCATCTGAAATGCATGTCAAGGAACAATTATTTATAGCTACAGAACCACAGCTCTGAAAGGGACCTTAGAGATATCCTACTTTACTTGCTTTAATTTGCAAATTAGAAACTTTTACCACTTACCCAAGAGCCCACAAAATTCCCATTCTAGAATTCTTTCCATTATACTGTTGATTCTCAAACTCTGGTATGTCCAACAATCAAGTCAGTGAAAACACAGATTCCCAAGCCCCATCCTCAAAGATTTTGCTCTAGTAATTCAGGTTAGGACCAGAACTCACATCTTTTAATAATCACTTCAGGTGATTCTTAAGCAAGGAGTACACACTTCAGATCACAGGAAGTCACAGGAAAGAATGAATGCATTAAGATTAAGTAGACTTCTAGCACTTAGTACACTGTCTGAAAATTTCCATTTCTTCCCCCATATTTGGAACCTCCAAAAAACAGTTACTCACTGCTACTTGTGCCGAATCCATAAATCTCAAACCAAAATAGTCGCTTTCAATAAGGTCCAGGTGGTACATAATCTGATCAAACAGTTCTTGTCCCTTGGCTTTTTTCTGAAATGGCAAGAAAATAATAAATGGCTCATAAGATCAACAAGCCTAAAGAAGATGGTTTTAGTTATACAAGATCTCTTAAAGAAAGCACTACTACTTACAATATCAAAAGTATTACCATATAGCAGATGGGTAAAATACTGTAGTTTTGTAATAAACCACTTAAGGCCATAAGAGAATCTGTTATTTCTTATCAACCAACAAATATTACTTATTTTTAGGGACAATATCTGTACCTAATGCTGTGTGTGTGTAAGGGGAAATTGGTCTTCTCAATTTTTAGAGTCTGTTCTTTAAAGGATCCCATAATGTAACTGGAAAGAAAAACAAGAAAACTTAGAACACTTAAGTACAAATCATGTGGAACTACACTGGCAAATAGATTTTAGAGAAGAGATGGTCACAGACACTAGAATAATCAGTGAAGGTCTTGATGGATAAAAATCAGTCTTAAACTGCAACAGAACGTTAAGGTAGCAAAAATGAAAATGGAAGGTGGACGAGAATGAGACAATGAGAAACCACTGTGACGATGCATAAAACACTGAATAGTGGAGAGAATAGCAAAGAAACTTGTAAAGAAAAAGCAGTTCTCAAAGTGTGGTCTTAGGACCACGGAGGGTTCCTGAGACTCTTCCAAAAGATCCACGATGTTCTAGGATTCTTCTAACATACCTCAATCAAAACAACATACTGTAACACAGTACATGCAGAAGCAGATAATAAGAGAATCCAAATACCTTCTATTAAACCAGACATTAAAGAGATTTGCAAAAGTACATAAACAATGCCACTCTTCTCACTAAGTTCCTTGTTGCTTTGAAATAGTTATTTTTCATAAAAACATACTTATATTAACATACAAGGGGTATGTTGCTATTTTAAATTAACCAATAGATAAATATTTTTAAATTTTTTCAGTTTTAATTTCTAATATGGAAAATATTGATAGATATAACCCACATAAGTGAAAACATTGTTGGGATCCTCAATTTTCACGTATCCCCCATTTATGCCTCTCCACCTATAGAATTATAAATTGTGATTTACAGTATTTCCTATTAAAAAAATAAACATATCATTGGATTTTTAAAAGTCATATCATCAATTTCTGCCTTTTAACTGATAAATTTATTATTTCAACTTGTCCTTTGCTTTTTCTATACTTCTTAACTTCCTTCGGAGATGAGTCTATTCTACATTAAAGTTAAAAGTCTGTTTCAAATATTATTCCTAATTTCTTTGATTTATACAACAAATATTAATAGAACACTTACTATGCACCAGGCACTATTCTAGGCAACTAAACAGGGAAATAAAACAGGTAAGCCCTTGCCTTCAAGAAGCTTACGTTCAAGGGAAGAAAATATATTATGCTAGTTAGTAATAAAGGTTATAGAGAACAATGTAAGGGAATAGAGGATAGGAAATAATATTTGAATAGGAAGACTCTTTTAATAAAGCAGATTTAAAGAGAGATTAAATGAAATAAGAGAGTGAAATACATAATTATCTAGAGAAAATGTATCCTGGGAAGAAATAACAGCAAATACAGAGTCCCCAACTTGGGGTAGGGAAGGAGTTGTGGCATATTCCAGCAACAGCAAGTCCAGTATGGCTAAAGCAAAGTGAACAAGAGAAAGAATGGTCAATAATGTGACAGAAATTTGCAAAAGACCGTGAAAACTTAAACCCACATAGACAAATAATAATACAAACTAATTAAATATTTGAACAACAGAATATTGGAATAATGTTTTATCAACATGAAGAAAAGGAAGGAGATAGTCATTACCAGAAACGACAAAGAAAACTGTTGGTTTTATTTTTATTTTTATTTTTTTCCTTTTTGTCTTTTTTACTGACCGGTAATGGGATCGCAACCCTCGGTGTCGCGCCCGTACCGGGGACCGGCAACGGGATCGCAACCCTCGCTGTTGCGCCCACACCACGCTCAGCCAGTGAGCGGGAACCGGTCTCCACATGGGATCTGAACCCTCGGCGGGAGCGCCACCACGCTCCCAAGCGGCGCACTCTCCAGTGCGCCACCGGGCCAGCCCAAACTGTTGGTTTTAAATCATATGTATAATAAAAAAGCACTGCTAACAAACTTAAATAGAAAGTCCCAAAGCATTGCTAACAAATTTAAATAGAAAATAGCAATTATGCTGAAATTTGCTAATGGCAATCATCCTAAAAGGAACACAAAATATATCTAAACTATGGCAAGGAAGCCACAGAAGTCTTTCTGCTGAATTCACATATCTGGTACCAATCTTACATGCTTCCATTACCTTAATCCTAAGGTGCATTTCTAGAATCGATATCATATTCCATCAACATTCTATATGTGCTTCAAAGAGCAAAGGGAAGCATGGCTTAAAAAATGACTCTCCTTATTCTGCCAATGCATCATTTGCCACCTCTTGAAATACGACACCTGTGTTCTAAGAAGAGACAGAATGAGCTTCTGCCAGCTGGACAGCTACCTCCTCAGAACAAAAACCTTTTCAAGGTAATGTACTGACCACTCATTAATAGAGGCCAATTCTAGGCCAACCAGTAGTGAACACAAGGCATTTGCAGGTTCCTGAAGTTAATAATGCACAATCTAACAAAAATGTGACATCCCAAAAAATAATCTGTCAAAACATCTTAATCTGATTTTTAGGGATAGCATGAATATTTTAAAAACCTTCATTCAGAGACTAGTCTGCAAAACAAAGAACTATATAACACTTCATAAAAATGAGTCACAGACAAGAAGTAAATGCAGTAACTGTAGTACGTTGGTTTCAAAAAGATTTCTGATCCTAACCAGGAAATAAAATGTGTTATCATTGATTGAAAGGTGAAAAAGCATGGTCTTGAAAATATTATTCTGGGTGAGCAAATACCTGACAATCATAATTTTGAAAAATAATTATCAATCTGTTGTATCACACTTGGAAATGGTGTCTTAAATCAAACTGACTTTGTCCCAGTCTATATTTTCTTAAGAATTTTTAATTTCATTCTATACTTAATAGCTTACAGGAAAAATACATTTTTGAAATAATATATCACTCAATTCATCAGTTACTAAACAGACACCTATCATGTGTTAGATGCTAGAGTTACAGATGGAAATGTTCATACTTCTTGCCCTCAAGCAATCACAAAGTTCTTAGCTAAGAACAAATTTACACACAGCTGGTTTAAACACAATAAATGTGTTATTCTTGCAGTATAAACAAAATGTTAAAGAAATGAGGATCAGTTGTTACTTCTGCCTGAAAGTATTGGTTTTGGAGGATTTTATATTCGAAATTGGGCCTGTAAGAGTAAACAGAACTCTGCCACCCTAAATAAAAACAAAATGAATAAAAATATGAAATCTTGACAGCCTATAGTGGAGCTGAGGAAAGAGACTGGAGACAGGCGACAGTCAGAAGACAAAGTGGTAGAAGCTGCCAACATAATCTTCCTAAAATTGCAAAACGATATTACTCTGCTCTTTAAAAGCCTTTAATTATTCCTCATCATCTACAAAATAAAGTGCAAATTCCAGGGCACAAAATAATCTTTCCTACGTGTTCCTTGCTCACTATTACAACTTTATCTCCTGTCAGTCCAGCATTTTTATCTCATAATAATTTCCCAATAAGTCATGCCTCTAAGACTTAGCAAAATACATTTCTTTCTGCTTAGAATGTCCTTCATGCCTCTAATGAACTCTTGACTCTGGCTTCTCAAAAATCAGTACATCTATGTTGCCTTCCAATTATCCCTGAGAGAATAAGTCCTCATTCCTCTGTACTGCCTCGTACCTATAATTCTAGTTAGTATAAAGCCTATGCAAAGGCATGGAGTTGTAAAATTGTCCAGCATGTTTAGGCGAAAGTAAGAGGGTACAGACAGCATACGTGGAATATGGATGTGAGATCCCTGATTCTAGGGTCAATGTCTGTCTTACTTATGTATACCCTTTCACCTTGCAGCTAATTAAAATGAACCAAGTAGAAAAAGAAAAGTAAAAATACAGACCACACAACTCTGGCCCACAAAAATTTTTCAGCTGCATTTACACCAGCACCTGCTACTTACATTGTTCTTTATTCCCCCCTAACAAATTATCCCAGGTCACAACTTCTTTCAGACCCAGTCCTTACTTCACACACACTTTTGTGAAGAATAGGACCATCAAGATATCTTTTCATCAGCCTTCCATCTTTCTCAGCAGAAGAAAGTATTCCTCCTAGAATGGTCCTCCTCCCATCTCTACCTGTGTATATAAAACCAATTCCTGAGGAACACTTTCCCTACTCATTAAAACAAATTCAGACCTTCCCAACTCAGTAACTCTCTAGCTGCTATGCTATTTCCTTCCTTCTTTTTACTGCCAAATCTCATGACAATTCCCCATTTTCCTTTCATGCACTTCCTCAAACAACTAATGAATATTTATTAGATACCTACTATGTGCAAGGGACTATGAACGGTCCAAAAAATATGACTGTCCCCAATAATTCCTTTAACCCTCTGAAATCCAGCTTCCAAACACACCATCCCACTGAGTGCTTTTCTCCACTTCCATTCTCCTATCCTTCTCATGACAGCTGACTACCCTCTTGCGATCTTCCACACAACGATATGACCCCACCAGAGATAGAACTACATTTTACTCATGTCTAATCTTTATTCCCTCCCCTGACCGTATCCATGTTCTAAGCATTCCTTCCTCTGCAATCTCACTGCCACTATTAGTCTGCAGCTCCATCACCTTGTGCCTATTACTATAGCAGTCTCCCGGCTTGCTTTTTTTTCTTATCTGTAATGCATCAAGTACATCACCTCTAAATTAAACCTACGTCACTTTTATGGTTTCTTTTTTCCTCTTTGTTTTTTTTTTGGTGGCTTGCCTGTACAAGAATCAGAACCCATGACCTTGGTGTTATAAAGCTGTGCTCTAACTGAGCTAACTGGCCAGCCATCATGTTTCTTGACTACTAAAAAAACCTAAGCAGACTAAAAAAAACCCAAATATGGGGCCGGCCCAGTGGCGCACTGCTACAGTGCGCCGCTTGGGAGCGCGGCGGCGCTCCCGCCGAGGGTTCGGATCCCACATATAGACCCGTTCCAGCATACTGGTTGAGAG